CACACACACACACAGAGTATGTAAACATAAGCTTGTATTTTGAATGCGATCAATCGTTTTGCAGCCCTGAACGCACCAAAAGTTTTCCGTTTTTGTTTTGAAACACCTTCGTGAGTCCTGCAGAAACCCTGTTTTAGGCTCAGGAACACACATGCATGCCTGATTTCTCTGCTCCACCATCAGGCAGAATGTAGGCTTCTCCACTAGCTAACTTCTGTTCTGTGCTTTTGTTGTTTTTCACCCATCGAAAAACATCCGGCGTCATCATATCTGCAGCGAAGGTAGGCTGCTGGCGGATCTAAACCCGAGCCGGATCTTGGGTGTCTGTGCTCGACGCGTGACTGTAGGAGGTGTTGTTGAACGTTGTGTGTACATCTCGCAAAAGCATCTATATTTTCTTTCAGTGATTCTCCCTTGCCTGTGACTTCACGTGTATGTTTTGTAAAGTTCCACGAGCCGGAGTCAGTCGGAGTTTCCCAGCATCTGACCAACACGGTGTTCGTGGACCGAGCCCTGATCGTCGTCCCCTTCGCCGAAGGTTTGTGCCGCTCTTTTGCAATCTTCACGTTCATCACGCGATCGATCCCTCCGCTGTGTGTAGACGACGGCATTAGCGCAGTGAATCCCACAGGTGCATATGTCAGTGGCTGGAGCTGATGTTTAACTCATTGCCTTTCCAGTTTAGTTCCATAATTTTTTATTTTTTTTTGTTAAACTTTTCTCTTTGTCATTTGTGTGTGTGATTTTTATAGTGAACAAGGCAAATGCAGAGCCGGCAGATGTCTGAGAGTGACCCTGTAGACAAATAATCGAGACCGGCCCACGTGTTTCCCTGCTGTAAACTATTATCCTCTCTCTTGTGTCTCCATCTGAGCTCACAGACAAAGATCGATCGCTCTATTCATTGCACAGCACTAATGTTTAGGCTGAAAGAATGTTTCTGCATTGCATGCTAATAAAGTACGGTAAGATCACTCATGCATAATGCGCTTTTAGCACAGCGCGTAATGATAGGGCTTTCCTGTGCGATTGTGATGTTAGGGCCCTATGATTTCCACGGTGCGGAGAACACGGACAGAGTCCGGTCATAAAGATTTCAGAGTCTGTCGTCTCTCTAAATGAAGACAT